GCAATTGACATTGAGACGTTTTCACATGCATTTCACATGCATTTCTAATCTCTATATACATGACTATCACTGGTCACAGTCATAAGTAAAAATTTTTAAAAATTGTATGAGAGGGAGGGAGGTATGAGTGTGGGTGCCACAGCATACATACATATTAAGATCAGAGGACAGGTGTCCTCCCCTTCCACCTTGTTTGAGACAGGGTCTCTTGTTGGGCACTGCTGTATACACCAGGCTGGATTGCCTGCACACTTCTGAGGATTCCCTGGTCTCTGCCTCCCATCCCACCATAGGAGCACTGGGATTATAGACACACACATACCTGGCTTTACATGGGTTCTGGGGATTTGAACCCAGGTCCCCATGCTTGCATGGCAGGCACTTTATCACTGAACTATTTCCCCAGTCCAAAGTCCTCATCTTTATGACAGGAGCAGGTATATTCTGGGAGAAGATGGTTCCAGTCAGCTGCAAAACACCCCTCATGTGGGTCCTTGTGACCTGCAGCAGTGTCCAGGGTGGGCCTCATGGCTTGGCCTCATGCAGCTCTATGCTGCCCCCTCCTGGTCACTGGGAAGAGAGGCACTGCATTAGCTGCAGGCTTTTCAAGCATGCACCCTTCACCCAGCTTGAACCTGCACCAACAGCCAGGTGCCCAAAGATGCTAGCCTATGTATACCATGCATGCCATGGCTCTCATGTGGCGGTCAGAGGACAACCTGTGGGAGTCACTTCTCTCTATCAGGTGGGCCCTGGGACTTGGACTCAGGTTGCCAGTCTTGGTGGTAGGTGCCTCTCTCTGCTGAGCCATCACACCAGACCCCAAGTATGTTCTTAAAAAGCCATTGGAAATGGCTGGGTGTGGTGACACATGCCTTTAATTACAGTACTCAGGAGGCAGAGGCAGGTGGATCTCTGTGAGATTGAGGCCAGCCTGGTCTACATAGTGAGTTCCAGGCCAGCTGGAGCTACAGTGGGTCTCAGAAAAAACAAGAAAAGGCTGGGCATGGTGGCTGACACTTTTAATCCCAGCATTCAGGAGGCAGAGGCAGTTCCTGGCTGGCTGTGACTACAGGGAGATCCTGTCTCAAAAAGACCAAAAACATAAACAAAAGTCAATGAAAAAACTCACGGTTTGTCAGGTGTGGTGGAGCATGCCTCTATTCTTAGCAGTCTGGAGGCGAAGGCAGGCTCTCTGTGATCTCCAGGCTAGCCAGGCTCTGTCTTCATGGCTGGGTATGGCTACATGGAGACCCTGTCTCAAAAAGACAAAAATAAATAAATAAATAAAGCATGACTTGACTCAGAACCATGCTGAGTGCAGACTGCTGGTTCCCACTCTTAATTCCTCTACTGTGGTCACAGTGGCCCTATGAGCAGAGGAGGCAAGCCCCGTGATGGGAGACAGAGTGGGAGAGCCACACTCCTGCAGAGTAACACTATTAGAGAATGGAATGTTCTCGTTTGGTATCTATTGCTGTGATAAAACAATGACCAAAGCTGGGCGTGATGGCGCACGCCTTTGATCCCAGTACTCGAGAGGCAGAGGCAGGCAGATCTCCGTGAGTTCAAGGCCAGCCTGGTCTACTTAGAGAGTTCCAGGCCAGCTGGGGTTACAGGGAGACCCTGTTTCAAAAAAGACCAAAAAAAAACCAAACCAAAACAAAAAACCAAAAACCCACAAACAAACAAAAACAAAAACAACAACAAAAAAGACCAAAACCAACTTGGGGAGGAAAGAGTTTATTTTAGTTTAGTTTATTTTATTTTATTTAGTTTAGTTTAGTTTAAGGGAAGTCAGGGATGGAGCTCAAGGCAGGAACCTGGAGGCAGGAGCTGAAGCAGAGACCGTGGAGGAACGCTGCTCACTGGCTTATTTCTCCTTGCTCAGCTACCTTTCATATACAGCCCAGGCCCACCCATCCAGGGATGGCACCTCCACAGTGGGCCAGGCCCTCCTGCATCAATGAACAGTCAAGAAAATGCCCCACAGATATGGCCATAGGCCAGTCTGATAAAGGAAATCTCTCAGTTGGGATTTCCTCTTCTCAAGTGTGTCAAGGTGACAACTGAAAACTATGACAGAGACAGTCCGGCAAGAGGCCTGCAACAGGCCAGCTGTGACCCTGTTTCAAACCAACAAAATCAAAAAGGATTTTGAGGAATACCTACTTATATAGGGGAAATAATTCTTTTCAAGTGAGTCATTGAGGATAGTGGCTCAGGGTTGGATGGAGAAGCAAAATACACAGGGCTCACAGGGAGACCTGGATGTCACCAACATTGCAGCACTGATACTGGGTGATGGTAGGTTCGTTCATGCTTATTCTCTTACTTAGTAATTAGTAAAAACAAAAGAGGGGAGTACAGGTTCTGGGAAGGCGGCTCAGTCAGTAAGGAAATTGCTATCCAAGCATGAGCCTCATCTTCAGCACCATGTAAGCCACACACAGGTGTGTCTGCAACCCCAGTGCTGGATGGTGTGTTGGGACGGGGGTCAGGAAGATACCTGGAGCTCACTGGACAAGCTTGCTGAATTATGGAGCTCCAAGTTCAAGGAGGGAACCTATCTCAAAAAATAAGGCGGATGGGCCAGCCAGAGGGCTGAGCAAGTAAAGGCACGTGCCACACTGCAGCTTTCCTCGTGGCTACCAGCATGACATTGCTTCTTCTTGGCATGGATGTGTGTCCCCACTTTCATTCTCTCCTCTCTCTCTCTCTCTCTCTCTCTCTCTCTCTCTCTCTCTGTCAAAAAGACCAGCCTCTGTTGGCCTGGATACTCACGATGTAGACCAAGCTGGCCTTGAACTCATAGAGATCTGCCTGCCTCTGCCTCCCGAGTGCTGGGATTAAAGGCATGTGCCACTATGTCCAGCCTCCTACCCTCTTCTTGATGAACTTTAGCACCTGCTTGGACACTTGATGAACTTGGTCACCTTGGGCATCTCCATGATAGACCAGCCTCTGTTGGCCTGGATACTCACGATGTAGACCAAGCTGGCCTTGAACTCATAGAGATCTGCCTGCCTCTGCCTCCCGAGTGCTGGGATTAAAGGCATGTGCCACTATGTCCAGCCTCCTACCCTCTTCTTGATGAACTTTAGCACCTGCTTGGACACTTGATGAACTTGGTCACCTTGGGCATCTCCATGATGCTCCTCTCACAGGGTGTGAAGCTGCCTGATCACATCCTGCATGCATGAACTTGGTGTGCTTGGTGAGGCACCCTCGATGGCTGTGTCTTGGCTTGCTCAGGTTCTTTGTCACCTTATGGCCCTTGCTAAGGGCCAGGGCCATGAGGTAGCACAGAGTCATGGCCACTCTCCCATGGTGGCTGCAAAAGGATTAAAAATTTTTTCATTAAAAAAAGAGGATGCCCACTGGAGCAGAGTTGTCATTCATCTTAGGGAGGCCTGACTTGGGCAGCGATCAGTGCAGGGCTGGAATGCAGGCTTGAGCATCTGAGCAGGCCTCTGTGGCTTGGAGAAGGATCTAGAAGGCTGGTCTTGCTCTGTTAGGAGGATCACAGAAGGACTTGCTCTGTGAGCAGGGTCAAAGTAGAGCTTCTAAACCACAGACAGAGTCCAGTTCACAGACCCTGTTGGCTGCATTGTATCTATTCTGTTTGAGGGGCACTAACTCAACACATCCCTGTGGAAATAAATTGTGCTTCTTTACATGTCTGTAAACCAACACAGGCTGGGACAACAGCACCCCTGGTCAGAGTTACACTTTAAGGTCTGGTTCTGGAAAAAAGACACAAAAGTGGATGGACTAGTTGGGAAGAGGAAGGGGATCAGCCAGAGTAGAAAGGGAATGAGACTAAGGGAATCAATATGGTCAAAATATACTATTTGCATGTTCAAAAATGTCATAATGAAACCCATTATTATGTACAACTCATATCTAATAAAAACTTTACAAGCTTTTTAAAGGTCAGAAAAAAAAGTGGGTAACTGAGGAAGACACCTGACATCAACCTCTGACTTCCACGTGCATGTGTACATATACCCAAATGCACATGTGCACACATGTACCACATACATTAAACCCACACTGTATGTGTCAGTTATTCACACATAAGCTCAGTTGTATCAGTGCTGACAGGAGATGAGTGTGTAAGAGAGCCACAGGCCCCATAAGCTCCTGGGAACCTGGAGCCAAGGGCTGCCCTGTCCTCTAGCCAGGTAAGGATAGGAAGGAGAGGCTGAGACCATGTGAGACCCTCAACCCTTGGCTCACATATGAAAGTGGCCAGGCCAGCTAGCCTGAGCTGCTGTCTATCAGGAAGAGGGTGCTGTATTTGCAAACACCTTTGTTCATGTCTGCACAGCTCCATCAACTCATGCACTGCACAATGACGTCATCTGAATTCGGTCACCTTCCTGACTAAAGTAGATGAAAATGCCAGCATTTCCACTGTCCCCTTCTCTAGGGGTGGCTGTTCCCTCAGAAGAGGAGGCACAAGGTGGGTATGGTGAGGGTGTCTCTCTGAACACATCTGTTGAGGCCCAGGGCGGGGCATAGCAGGTTTGGCAGGGACAAGCAAAGGCTTCTCGGAAGCTCGAACCTGGAATCTGGACATAACCATATGGGCTGCAGCATCCCTGAGTTCTGGCAGGACTACTCCATGACCACCCACAAACCCTGTCTGCCTCCACAAACTAGTCTCTCCTTAGGGAGTTCAGGGGTGGGACCGCTGAGTCCTGCAGTAGGGGCAGAACTGTAAGGCAGGGCCAGATGGAAGCCAGATGGATGTGAGCGGGGAAGGCAGGGAGCATGGCCCAAGGTCTGCCCAGCATTAGACTCAAAGGCAGTAGTGCCACCTAATGGCCATGTACTTTCTGCACCTCAACAGCCTGCTGGGAGGCCTTTCTAGCTAGCTCAGCGTAGCACAGTGCTCACCTGGAGACATCCCTCATCCTGACTTAGCATGTGACTTTTTACATTTTTAAAAAAATAGGTTTTAAAGTTTTGAAAACTTTACCAGGCGTGGTGGCACATATCTTTAATCCCAGCCCACAGGAGGCAGATGCAGGTGGATCTCTGTGAGATCAGGGTCAGCTGGTCTACATAGCAAGTTCTAGCAAGTTCCTGGGGCTACAGGGAGACCCTGTCTCAAAAACAAATACAAACTACTGAGTGTGCACTGGCACACATGTGGAAGTCAAAGGACAATTATCAGGATCAATTTTTGTGTCTGCTTGCATACTCCAGGCTCGTGAACTCTTAGCCGATTCTTCCGTCTCCACCTCTCATTTCTCAGGAGTGTTGAGATTACAGATACACCACGCTTTTTACATAGATTCCAGGGGTCAAACTCAGGTGGTCATGCTTATATGAACTTCGGATCCTCTTGTCTGACTGTGATTACAGGTGTGCATCACCATGCCTGTGTTATACTGATTACTAAACCCTGGGCTTTGTGCATAAGAGGAGCCACCAACTGAGCCACAGCCCTACCCGAGTGCCTTACTTGTGTCATATCCAGAACACTGGATGTCAAATCACGGAGTCAGGGACTGCCTTCAGAGGACAGGGTAAGACAGGCAGCCCAGGCTCCTGGCCAGGCTCCCTGGTTATCTCCCAGGCCCAGAAAGGCAGAGAAATCTTGCTGAGTGCACAGTCTTTAAAGGTTTGTTTTTGGGCTGGTGAGATGGCTCAGTGGGCAAGGCACTATAGGCCAAGCCTGACAACCTGAGTTTGATCCCCAGAACCCACAGGGTGGAAGAAGTGACTCCCACATGTACACCATGGAACAAGTGTGCTTATGTACACATACACAAATACTAAACGTTAATAGGCCAGGCATGGTCACACAAAACTTCAAGTTTTTATTTTTACTTTGTGTATGTGATTATTTTGCCTGCATGCATGTAAGTGCACCTGTGTTGCCCATGGAAGCCAGAAGTGGCATCAGATCCCTTGAAACTGGAGTTACCGACAGTTGTTAACTACCATGTGGGTGGGCAAGGGAAGAGTTAAGCCCCAGGCGGCTGGCTAGTGACTATCCCGAGAGCCACCCTGGACCACTCAGGGTCCATCCTGGACCCACCCTCTTCCCCCTAGAAGCTTCCTTTCCTCCCCACTCCTCTCTGGTCACCCAAGCTGACAACTCAGCCCTAATACCAGGCTGACTGCCCAGGCTCTTAATCTTCATAGTGGGTGTCCACATGACTGCCGCTTCAGCCTGGGAGGAGACTAGCCTCCTTCTCCACCAGCCGACTGACCATGCGCAGAGCGAGAGGCAGGGCTGTGTTGGTATCTCTGTGGTAGCGGGGCTGGCATACTCCCACAGTGGGTGTGAACACAAACTGGGCTACACTGGGCATCTTCAGCAGCATCAGCAGCTCTGTGGCTCGGATGCGGATGGCTTCTGTGTCTTCCTTCCTGTGCATGGAGCTGGTGGTTGGGCTTTGGGCCAGGGTCCGCATCTTTGACAGGAACAAGGAGACCCTGGAGATGAGGGGGATTCAGCTAGTCAGTTCCCAGAAGCACCCAGTTAGCTGGGCTTTTCTTATAATTAAAAAAAAATTTATTTTTATTTTATGACTGTTTGGCCTGCATGTAAGTACACCTGTACTGTGCAATGCCCGTGGGGGCCGGAAGAGGGCGTCAGATCCCCTACAACTAGAGTTACTGATGGTTCCGAGTCGCTGTGTGGATGCTGGGAACTGAACCCAGGTCCTCTGCAAGACCAGCCAGTGCTCTTAACCACTGCGCCATCTCTCCAGCCCCAGTTAGCTAGAGTTCATATTGGTGGGGCCCCCACCTTGTTCTCCCTAGCTGGGTACCTGGGAATTAGGTCTTGGCTCCGGGAGGCCAGCTTGGTCAGTGTGGTCATGAGCGTGGTGACAACCTCTGGGGGACAGCAGGGCAGGTCCACTGAGGAACGGGACTGGGTGACCTCAAACAGCAGGGCTTCTAGTGCTTCGAAGAATTTGTTGATCTGCTCCACAGTGCAGCGCCTGTCACAGGTCACTGAGAGGTACTCCCCGATGGCCCACACCTAAGCCAGGAACACAGGCTCAGCACAGGCCAGGGTCTCCTGGTGGGATGGTAGGAGGCTGGGTGGATGCTTACCACACAGGTGAACATGCTGGCTCGGCTGTGGATGCTGCTCACCCTCCCGACGAACTCCAGCAGTTCTCGAGCCAGCTCCACCACCAGTGAGGGCTTCAGCTTACACAGCGCCAGAAACTGGGAGCTCAGCACCCTGCCAGGACAGCAGGAGCTTGTGGGGTTGTGCTCTGTTGCATACCCAACCCCACTCCATCCGATTGAGTCCCTTCAGCTGGCTGAAGTCAAGGATTTCTAGGGACTATCCTATGCCTAGAAGGCCTTTCAAACTGCCAGGGACAAGACTCCACCTACGTTGTCCTTGGTTTCTTGTGAGAAAGATACGCTGATGGTCTACACATGAAATCTTAGCCTACCAGGAGACTGGGACAGGAGGATCTGAAGTTTAAGATTTGTCTGGGTTACAGAATGAGTTCAAGGCCAGTCTGGGGAACTTAGAAATTCTGTCTTGAAAGCAAGAAGGGCTCAGTAGGTAAGAGCACTTGCTCAACTCAAGCATGAGGACCCGAGTTCAAATCTCTAGAACCTATGTAAAAGCTGGGTGTGGCTGTGCATGCCTGTAAGCCTAGCACTGTCGGAGTGGAGACAGGAAGATCGCTGGGGCTTGCTGGCTGCCAGCCTCACTCCACCTCAACGAGAGACCTAGAACCTATCTCAGGGAGTAGGGCAGAAAATGATGGAGCAGGACATTCAACCTCCCCCTTTAGCCTCTGCACATGCAGATGCACACACCTGTACCCCACCCCCAAATACAAATAAGATTATGTTTAAAATAACAAGAAGCCAGGCATGGTGTCACACTCAGGAAGCAGAGGCAGGTGGATCTCTGTGAGTTTAAGACCAGCCAGGTATACATAGTGAGTTCCAGGCCAGCCAGAGCTATATAGAGACTTTGTCTCAAAAAAACAAACAAAACAATAAGTTAAATAAGTAAATAAATAGAAAAGCAAAAAGGGCTGAGGCTGGATGTGGGGATGTAGTGGTGCACCCTTGTAATCCTAACACTTGGGAGGCTGAGGCAGGGGGACTGCTTTGAGTTCCAAGACAGCTTAGATAGCACCTGCCTAGAATCCCCCAGTGAGAGGCTGGGGTGTGGCTCAACAGCGGAGCACTTGTGTACCATTCAGGAGGCCCTAGGTTAATCCCCAGAACTGGAGGGGGTGCGGATATGAGAATATCAATAACCCCACCAAGTGAAGAGAATGATCCTCAGGGAACAGGAGCCTCTGTAACAGACACTTGAGACAACTCTAAAAGGAAGTGAAGAGGCTTAGGGGAGGGAAGGCATAAGAATATTCTAGATGGGGGACAAGATGCAAGTTGGATGAGGAGCTGGCAAAATTGGAGATTGCAGAGGGTAGACTGGAGAGGGGACAGTGCTAAGGTCTACACCCAGTGTATGGGTGTAATGTGGGCAAGAGCACACAGAGCGGGATCACTGGAGCTGCGCTGCATAGGTGACACCTGCCCAGGGCCACAGGCTTACCTGTGCACACGGGCCTCATACTGAGGGACCTGGTAGAGGGAGTCATTTCTCTCCAGGAGCAGCAGTGCCAGCTGGTTGATTAGGGCCCCATTGGCGAACTGGGGTCAAGAGAAAGAGGGGCTCAGTTCATGCCACAACAGATGGATGTCATCTTTTACTTCCTTGTGAAGATGAGGCCACAACGAGGGAAACATGACCAAGGGGGTGACGTTCCTACACCACTATGTTCCCCAGCATGTGGGGTGTTAGGGAACTGGGGGAGGGCTGTGAAGCCCCAGCTTCCCTGGCCTGCTCCTGCCTGGAGGCTTCCTTTTAGAAGCCTGCTCTGCTGATGAGTATGGTAGTGCACACCTTTAACCCCAGCACTCTGCAGGCAGAGGCAGTGGATCTCTTTGAATTCGAGGGCAGTCAACGGTACACAGTTGAGACCGTGTCTCAAAGATGCCCGCTTTACAAGGCCCTTCAAGGCTTGGTCTCGCCTGGCTGAGTGACCCCTGCCCTGTAGCCAGTGTACCTCAAGGGGCTCTGCCAGGTTCCATGCATCAGACCTGTGAATACGCAGCCAGGCTATGGGAACCTTGTGGTCCTGGAGAACATGCTGCCCTGACTCTAGCTTCTGCTGCCAGCCCCAGGGGTCACATGCCTGCCCTGTCGTGAGGGCTGAGACTTAACAGTCCTTTCCCCGTCTCTCGGATCCCGAGGCCATGAAGGGCACAGCAAGATGAATAGAGGGCAAGATCAATGCCACCATACTCTGGGACAGTTTTCCCCTGGCTCTGTGAGATCCACAGGAGTTGGGGACCTGGGAAGTGGGCTCACCTGAGTCACAGCCGAAAAGAATGCCTGGAGCAGGGTGGGTACTGCCTCAGCGCACTGGGCCACCCGGGCACAGCTAGCCATGGGCTGCAGCAGCTGGTGGAGGGGTGTCAGCCTACAGATACAACAGGGCTGCTGAGTACCACCACTGCTTCCACCTCAGTGACCCCAGAGCCACCAGAAGAGGGGAGGACAGATGCTGTGGCCAGCCACACAAGGCCACTGCTCACTTGCCTCTTGTTCCATGAGGCTGAGGGAGGCAAGGGAACATCAGCGTGCTCAGCCCAACAGAGCTGGGGACAGGCCAGCACGGGCTGACCTGCAGAACCTGAGGCTGTGCTAGGCCTGTTTAGTTTCTGCATTTGTAAAGTGGAGTGCTCACTGAACCAGCTGAGGGCTGGGTCAAAGGGGAGCCTGACGAACCCTCCATGTCCAGGGCCAGTCTCCTGCAGTGAGGCCCACGGCTGTCTCTCCAGGCCAAGGGAGAGGACACAGCCCTATTTCTGGTGCAGAGCTCTAAACACAGACTGTGGCAGGCTCACTGAGCCCCTGGTGGTTCCCTCACCCCTCCATGGAGCCACTGGCCTTGGTGCGAAGCAGGTACTGGAAAAGGCCCTGGAACTGCGGGTCTCGGAAGGCCTCCAGGCAGCTGGGGATCCTGAAGGTGGTGTCCCAAAGTGGCCTTTCAGAAGGAGTTGGTGAGGACCTGAGAAGACAGGCCAGGCTGGGATGCAGCTTTCAGTAAAGAGCAACCCACTCCAATTTGCTCTCTGATGCCAGGGGCACCCAATGTAACATCACAGCCCCTGGGGGGTTGGGGAAGGACCAGGGCCTGGAACATGGGAAGTGCCCTTGGTCAACATGAATCACTGGGGAGCCCCGGGGCTTGGGGGCTGCCCTGAGTGGGTGGTGAAGGGCCCAGAGATGCAGTCTGGAGAAACAGAGCCTTGCAGGGGCCCTAGTCCAGAGGGTTGGGAGTGGTAAAGAGACCAGAACCAGGATCTGGTTGCAGAGAAAGGGATAGGGCTGATCAAGCCCACCTGAGCTGTAGGTCCAGGGCAGCAGTCAGGCAGGGCAGATCCAGCAGCATATGCAGCATCTCCAAGGCTGTGCCAGCATCCACCAGAGCTGGGAGGAGTGCCACGAACTTGGCAGTGAGGGGAGGGCTGTTCCATGCTAGGAACTGTGGGATACATGGTGGTTCAGAGAGGTTGGCCGGGTGGTGGTGGGGGGTTGGTTGGGGACTGCATCACCATGGCCTCCCACTGCCAACTGATACCATGAAGGTGTTTGTTCTGGGTGGGCACCTGAGCCTGCCCGACCTGTCTACCTCTTTCTGACACTGCCTGTGATGAGGTGTGCATAAACGTTTCCTTCAACTGTTTGACTTTGGCTATTTAAATTTTTTTTTGGTCTTTTTGGGACAGGGTCTCCCTGTAGCTCCGTCTGTCCTGGAACTCACTATGTAGACAAGGCTGACCTTGGACTCACAAGAGATCTGCCTGCCTCTGCCTCCCTAGTGCTGGGATTAAAGGCGTGCACCACCACGCCTGGGCTCCTATTTAAATTAATTAATTACTATTATTATTGTATATGTGTGTGCATGTGCATGTTGTTTATGTGACAGTGTGTGGAGGTAAGACAACGTGAGCTGGGCGGCATGGTGGTGCACACCTTTAATCCCAGCAGTTGGGGGACAGAAGCAGGCAGATCTCTGTGAATTTAAGGCCAGCCTGGTCTACATAGCAAGTTCTAGACCAGCCAGGGCAAAATAATGAGATCCTGTCTCAAAAAATTAAAAAAAAAATAAAATAAGACAACTTTCAGGAATAAGTTCTCTCCTTCCACCCTGCGGGTCTTGGGGATTGAACTTGGATTGTCAGGCTTGGTGGCAAGCACCTTTACCTGCTGAGCCATCTTGCAGCCCCCGCCTCCAGCCATTCTGCTTTGGCGTCTGCAGTCACTTTTGTACCAGCAAGGCAACTAAGCGCTTCTCAGTCATCTTTTTTTCTTTAGAAAATGGATTGAGTTTGGGGCTGGGGAGATAGCCTAGCAGTAAAGTGTTTGCTATGCAAATACAACCTAAGTTCTATGCCGAGAACACATTTAAGAAAATCCAGATGTGGCTCTGGAGAGCTGGTTCAGCGGTTAAAAGCACAAGCTGCTCTTGTAGGGGACCCAACTTTGACTCCCAGCACCCACATGGCAGCTTACAACTGTAACTACAGTTCCAGGAGATCCGACACCCTCTTTTGGCCTCTGTAGGAACTGCATGCATGTGGTCCACTTATATACATACAGGCAACACACTCATTTACATAAAAAAAATCTGGTGTGCTGGTACACTCTTGTAACCCTCATCCTGGGGAGGAAACAGGTAGATTCCTGGGGTTCATTGGCCAGCCAGTCTGTCTTAATTGGAGAGTTCCAGACTAAAGACAGACCCTGCCTCAAAAAACAAGGTAGACATTGCCTGATGAACAGCACCCGAGGCTGTACTGTCCTCCAGCAGCACATGTATGCACACATGTGCATATGTACTCTGCCCCCAATACATCACAGACCGGTGCCAAAGGGCTGAATGTGCCAGGCAGAGTACAGCCCTGGCCAAGCCAGGCACGGCAGTACATACCTGTAAACTAGAGAGCCTCACTTCCCAGAGCAGGAGGACCTCAAGCCTGAAGCCAGGCAGCTCACAAAGTCAGGCATACTCTCTTACCCACATATGGCTTTGTTTGTGAAAGAAAAGGGCGTTATGTAGCCCAGGCTTCCCTGAAACTTGCCTTGTAGATGAGGCCTGCCTCAACCTCTCAAATGCTAGGATGAAAGGTGTGAGCCACCATGCCTGGTTCCTGTGTGACTGTTTGTATGTTATGATGCACAGCCATACTCAGCCCTCATACTTGGCCCTGTAACCCAAACTGAGACCAACTGAAAAGGGGGAAGCCCGAGACCCTCGCCTAGGGGTGAATCCCCCCCACATGCCTTGAATAGATTAGGAAAGCTCATCTTGAGAAGCCCCAGGAAGTGTGAGTCGAACAGGGCCAGGTTGTAAGTGCAGAAGTGGATGATCTCGAATGCCAGCATGGGGCTGTGGAAGCGCTCAGAAGGGAGCCTGCTGAGCAGGTGCTGATAGACAGCTTCCGAGTCCACGGTGGCTGCCTCCCCTGAAAGACACCAGGCACCACCAGGACATTAGGCTCCATCTCATAAGCATGCTCAGTAACCCACAGTAAGGCTTCTCTGCTGCAGGTCAGGGCCCAGCAGCCTGGCCAAGCCTCCAGGATTGCACATGCCTGGGGTACACCAAAAGCCTCCAGGAGATGTCCACTGTAGAAAAACTTAGCTGAGCCTGACGACATCGATCTCCTAGGCCACTGAGCACAAACAGGAAACAAGAGTCAGGGAGGCACTAGTCCCTCAGTTGTAACTTTCACAGGCCTTTTGACATAGCAGGGAGAGCACTGAGTGGGACAGAAATTATGCCTATTGACAAGTGCAAGGAGTTGGCTGTGCTGGCCCACCACTGCAATCTGTTACTCAGGAGGCTGAAGCAGGAAGACTGAAAATTCAAGGTCAGCCTGGGCAACTCACTGAGACCTCATCACAAAATAAAAGGAGCAAGATGTGGTGGTGCACACCTTTAATCTCAGCACTGGGGCTGAGACAGACAGATTTCTATGCGATCAAGGCCAGCCTTAGTCTATACAGTGAGTTCTGGATGGGTTGGGGCTACCGGGGAAGCTACCAAACACACACACACAAAACAAGAAAAAACAATCAAAATAGAGGGCTGGGGACATGGCTCAGTGGTAGAGTACCTATCTCCCTGGCATCCCCAGTAAGGGGCTGGAGGTGTGACTCAATGGCACTGTACCTCCTAGAATCCCCCAGTGAGACCTGGGGTTATGACTCAGTCGTAGAGCCATCTGCCTAGACTGCCCTAGGGAGGTGCTAGGGGTGTGGCTCAATGGTAGAGGGCTTGTCTAATATGTGAAAGATTCGAGTTCCATCCCCTGCACTGCCAATAAACAAACAAAACAAAAATGTAAAGTGACAGCCTCTGAGAATCCAGAAGAAATTGCTCTGCCCACCATCGAGCAAGCTGCTCTTTACTGTGGCCCTGCCTCCTGTACACCCAGACTCACCATGGTTCAGAAAGAACTGGGCGAGGGGCACCAGTGCCCGCTCGCTGCCAGGGTCCTCACCCAGCCTCCTGTGCAGGGCCTTGAGGCAGGAGAGGGTGCGGTACAGGAAGGAGGGGTCCTGCCGGCACAGCACATCCAGCACTAGCACAGCCTCCACCACACACTGAGGGGACATGGAGCTGTGTCAAGAGGGTCCAGGCATCACCCTGCCTGGTCACCCTGCCAGCCACTTACAGCTTTCTGTAGGTCAGAGTCCCCCTTCCTCAAGGCACCTGAAGGAAAGAAGAAAGGTGATTGGTCTCTAAACGGCACTTGACAAGGCAACTGCGTTCTAGAAGCTCAAGGCCAGGACAGTGAGTGAGAAAACACATAGCCCTGGGACTCACGTCGGTTGCTCTGTTCCAGGAGGCGTTGGCAGTACTCAAAGGCTACCTCCCTCAGGCGCTCCCGAGGGGGCAGCAGGTGGCTGGCAGTGGAGGTGGCAGAAAGCACAGACAGGGTGGAGCCCTCCGGCTCTGACTTGTCATCTGCAGGAAAAAGGGACACCCTTGGTAGACCATGTGGACAGGCAAGTTGGACAGAGGACATACTGCAACAGCCTCCCAGAGGGCATGAGGCTTGGTCTCTGTCACCTTGCCCAAGATGCCCACATCCATCTGGGGTGCTAGTCAGGTTTACTGTTTGGTTTTGGGTATATGGAAAGAGGGTCGTACTACATAGCTCAGGCTGGTCTCAAACTTACTATTCTCCTGCTTCAGATTGCCAAGTGCTGGGATGACAGGCACACACTGCTATGCTTGGCTTAGTTTTTAGACAGGGTTTCACATAGCCCAGACTGGCTTCAAACTCGCTATGTAACTGAGACTGTTCTTGAACTCCTGATTGTCCTGCCTCTACTTCCTGAGTGCTGGGATTACAAGCACGCACCACTATGCCTAATTCAATTTTATTGTCTATAACCCAGGTCTGTGTATGTGACAGAATCCAATGGCACTGTCCAGACAGATATGTGGAATGGCTGCTGAATTAAACAACTCCTCTGCCTTCTCTGAGCACACCTCACAGGGACACTGGTGTGTCTAACTAGGGCCTCTGGGGCTGACTGAGCTCAGCTGAGTAGGCCATGATGCTGACCTGCACCTAAACCCCAAGGTGCCCATCCTCTACCATTGACTGGCCTGTTGCACCCTGGACGCACCTGCATCTGGAGTGCCTGGGTCCTCAGGGCCGCTGTATAGCAACCATGTTCTCAACATAGAGAATGCCTGCATGTTCAGCCACTGGTCCTCCGTGAAGTGCTGGCCCGTGGAGAGCACTGTGAAGAAGTCTGAAGCTACTGCTCCGTCCACCTCGGTGATGGGGCCTGGCTGTGGGAGGAAAGGCAAGGGTCTGCAGGACTGGGATGAGGCTGGTGGGCTCACAAGTTACAGAGGGTGGAGGGGAGAGGAGATCACAGGAGGCTATGAACCTCAGCATGGCTTAGGGGCCAGCGCTACCTGCCCCTGTTCCCATGATGCACCGGAAGAAATGTCTACACTCCCAGACACAGGCAGGCCTACACCAAGACCTGGAGATGCAGGACACCAGGTTTGTTGTGGATCTTGTATCCCCTGTAGGCTCTGGGCACTGACCATTCAGGATCCCACCTGTGGTTGGCCAGACCCAAAGCAGACTCCCCCAGTTCAAGGTAGAGGCAGCAAGAAACTTTATTCGAATCAGGGGAAGGACAGTGTCCAAGGGGACATGTCTGGTGGGAGTGGCTATATGCATGCAGGGTGTGTGTGTGTGAGAAAAACTCCCCAGGACAGATAGGGCTATTTTGAGTGGCATTTTATTTGTTTGCTGTTTCCAATTTATTTATTTTTATTTTCTGTGTATGAATGTTTTGCCTGAATGCAAGTATACCACAGGAACACAATGCCCATGGAGGCCAGGAGAGGGCACCAGATCCCCTGGGACAGGAGTTACAAATGATTGTTAGCAGTCATGTGGGTGCTGGGGATCAAATGCCGATCCTCTGCCAGAGTAGCCAATACTCTTAACCTCTGAGCCATCTCTCCAGCAGCTTTATTGACTCTCAACTCTTGATCCTCCTGCCTCTAACTCCTGATTGATGGAATGACAGGCACGCACCACCACATCCAGTGCTGGGGCTCGAACCCAAGGCTTCATGTGCGCTAGACAAATACTCTACCAACTAAGCTCTGTCCCCAGCCTGTAACAGAGGTTTTGTGATATCAGCTCCCCAAGGACCTGAAGGAACTTGGACTCACTTGCCGGATCCTGGGTGTGGAGAAGAAGCCCCCTGAGTGTGGAAGCCCTTGCTGGATGCTGGCATAGCGCAGCCAGTCAACCAGTCTCTTGCTGAGCAGGTTGGTCTGGTCTGCAGGGAGGGCAGAGGGGCAAGGTAAGGCAAGAGAAACATATCCTATGGATTCCCAGGCCCCCCGAGGATGCTGACTGAGTTTGCCCAAGAGAAAAAGGGGCTAGCAGCACACCACACCATGGGCTCAGCCTGGAGAAGCTACACGGGGCTCATCAGGCCACCTGCCCTTCCTCATACTATACCCAACCTATGGGTTGCTGTTGGAAGGGAAGCAGGGGGGCCTTTGGGGAAGAGGTGGCCCATACCTTCCTGAAGGATGCCTGGGGCCAGGCTAATGACCTTGGATAGGATGGGGAGGAGGTGCCTGACACTGGACCCCTCAGGCTGTCGGTTCTCAAGGACTGTAAAGATGCGCTGGCTCACATGTCTGACTTCTTCTCCTCTGTCTCCCTTCAAAACAAAATAATGAGCTCTGGCAATGCTTCAGTTAAAGTGCATGCCTTGCAAGCACAAGGACCCAAGTTCCATCTCCAGATCCCATGTTAAAAAAACAAAACAAGGGGCTGGAGAGAGGGCTCAGAGGTTAAGAGTACTAGCTGCTCTCGCAGAGGACCCAGGTTTGGTTCCCAGCACCCACACAGTAGCTCACAGCTGTCTATAAAGCCAGTTCCAGGAAATCCAATGCTCTCTTTTGGCCTCTGTTGGTATTGTATATACACGGTGCATATAATCTAAGGCAAGCACACACATAACACATAAAAATAAGAAAAACATCGAAGAGAACAGGCACTGAATTCCATGGGTCCCCACAGAACACAAGCATGTTCAGGGACACAGGCCTGAAGCAGAAAGCCTCCCAAGTATTAGCAATCATGTTACCTGGGCCAGGAGCACAGATGCCACAAAGCTAAGCTGTCGGGTGTTCTGGGCGTGGTCACAGGACAGGGCCAGGCTATCGAAGGGTGACATTTCTCTCAGGATGGCAGCACAGAGGACCTGAAGCTGCTCAGGGCTCGTGGGCAAGCAGAGGGTGTTCTGCAAGAGGTATATACACATCTTCTCCAGCCTGCAGGGCGAGACCCCACCAGGTGATGCAGGCACTCCAGGGAAGCTGGCTTTCATATGTCCGGCAGATGGAGAAGGGCCCGAAGGAGCACTGCCACCAACCTACCATTATGAATGAGACTTGCCTTGCCTCAGCAGCTGGCAAGGCCAGGCCACTCACCTCCGGGGGTACTTGGTGGCGGATACAATGAGGAAGAGCCTCTGTAGAGCATCTATGGTGGCGGGTCCCGGGTCCTCTTGCAGCAATTTGCTGACCCGGGAGCAGAACCGTTGGAGCTCTCCATTCTGGATCTCCCTAAGGAAGGGGTGTCAGCAGTTATCACAGGGCTTCCTCTCACTACTGGGGGCTAATCCTAACTAGTAAAGAGAAAGCTGGGTCTTCCAGGGGAATGGTCACCCAGGCCTGCAACACTTCTGGGTGAATTATAGGAACCAGAATGCAGACAGGTTCCTCCCTAGAACTGAGATGTGTCACCATCAGTTTCCTAGTGGTACCCTTGATGGTGATCCACACATTCCTGTTTTGTTTTGAGACAGGGTCTCTTACTTGGTAGCCCAGGCTGGCCTGCAACTTGCAGCAATCCTCCTGCTTCAGTCTCCAAGGGCTGACATTATAAGTGCGAGCCATTACACCCAGTGAAACATTGTTTTAGGGGAGTCTTCCAAAAGTCAGGGACATTTACTCCAAGTTGCCACCCAGAGCCTGTGCTGGCTAGCCTGGAACTCATTATGTAGCCTAGGCTAGTCTTGAACTCTTAATTCTCTTACCTCAGCCTCCCAAAGGCTGACATTACAGACACACCACTATGCCTGGCACTCTCTTCCATTCTTTCTCTTTATTTGCAGTGATAGGGTTTGAACCCAGGGCCTTACATGCTCGTGCTAAGCAAGCACTCTAACTCTGAGCTACAGCCTCAGTATTCCAAGTTGTTTTTCTATTTTTATTACATTTATCTATTTGTGTGTGTGTGTGTGTATGTGTGTAGGACACTTGTAGGAGTCAGTTCTCGCCTCCCACCATTTGAATCCCAGGGATCAAACTCAGGTTGGATAAACGTACATAAAGTTTATACATTAAAGGGCAAATGTTATGGCAGATTATGAGGTAACCTGATATAATTCAATACATCACTGGCTTAACTTGGAAACAGGCAACAGTTAAGTGACTGACCCTCAATGTGGAAACGTGTTTTTCAGTTTCTATTCCAATTTCAATGGCAAGGGAGGGGGCTGGGACTAGCTCAGTGTACTTGGCTACATAAAGGCCGGTTCCATCTCCAGCAGCAGAATATAAAGGCCAAAGATGAAGGAATTACAGGATGAAGTGCCTGTTGGGGATGAGGAGGACCCCAACTTTCCAATCCGTGGCTGAAGGCCCCATTGTGGTACGTGACATTGTTGGGTTCAAGTTTACACAGTCCCCATTCTGGACCTGCTCGCTGGGTGTTTAAACTAGGGACTTGGGAATCAGAAGAAGACAGGGAGTCTCTGCTCTGGGACTGCAGCTAACATGTGTCCTGATGTGTGAAGGCTCCAATAACTTCCTCACTGTCCTGGCCTGTTTTATTTTTTGCATACGTCGGCCAGAGTCATACTCAGGTGCCTATGGACAGACTGGATAAGGGAGGGGTCACACAAAGACACAAGGCTGACTCCAGGGTTCTGTAGTCCTGTAGACCAGGCTGGCCTTGATCTCAGAAATCAGCCTACCTCTGCCACCCACTACTGAAGGCAAGCAGAGCTGTGTACTGGTGATCAGGCCATGTGGGCAGACCACATTTATCAAACACTTTCCTAAGAGATCTGTGTGAATTAGGATGGGAGGTCATAAAAAGTTTTCACTATTTATCTACTTATTTATTTGTGTGTGGGGGAGGGGGGCTGGTGGAGGGCAGAGGACAAACTGTGGGAGTCCTGTCTCTCCTTTTACCATGTGGGTTCCAGGGATTGAACACTGATCATCAAGCTCCTCTGCCATCTTGCTCACCCTATCTTGGGCGTTTTGCCTTGTTTACAGACTTTTTTCTTTCGTTTTTGTTCCTTAAAGATGCATGCCAGAGACCTCACCTTTTCTAACCTTTTCATACAATAGGACCAGCTCAGAATCCAATGTGTGCCTTTGCCTTTGAAGTTTACCAAATGCAGCAGGCCTCGACTTCAGGCTGTATTTTCTTCTTCTTTTTTGTCTTTTTGTCAGGGTCTCTCTGTAGCCCCAGCTGGCCTGGAACTCGCGGTGTAGACCAGGCTGGCCTTGAACTCACAGAGATACCCCTGCCTTTGCCTCCCAAGTGCCGGGACTAAGGGCGTGCGCCACCACGCCCAGCTCTGTTTCTTCTAACCAAGTACCACCAGGTCTTAGACCCGATAGCTGGGAAGCAGACATGGCGGGGACCTCTTGGACTGGCCGCATGTCCCCGAGTCCCGAGACAAGGCCAGGCTCCAGCTCCGGGGCTCAGCCTCGCTCTGTTGTGATCTGCCGGGGCCGCAGACGTGGGTTCTCCCGGTGCAGCGGGTCCCAGCACCTGCTCTAGCTCCTCCCGCAACTGTGTCGGCTGTCCCTCTCCTGACCTCCCCATCCGGGTTTCAGGAGTACCTGGCCTGCTGCAGCAGACTCTCCACACCCGCCGAGGGCATCCAGCTGCCGCGCAGACTCCAGCCCGGCCCGTCCGCGGCTTCTCAGAAACTTCCGGGGTCGCGGCACCTGGGTGAGGCGGATGCCACCTGCTTCCGGGAGCAAACGGAAGTGCTGTGGCCGTAGGTCCCGCCCAAACCCCAGGCATCCATCCACTTGAGCCTGGGAATCCTGAAACCCCGGACCTTACAGATCCCAGAACAGCGGGGGCGGGGGCGTCGGGCCTGTGATCCTTGGAAGCATCTGGTCCTAAAAGGACCTTGTCCCCTTTCTAGTTTTAGGGACTCACGGTCATGAGTGACACCCCCAGCCCTTGGGTTTTTTGTTTTTTGAGACAAGGTCTCCCCGTAGCCCAAGCTGTCTTGGCCCAGGCTGGCCTTGATCTCACAGAGATCCTCCTGACTGCCTCCTAAGTGCTGGGATTAAAGGCTTGCACCACCACACCCTGCCAGATCTTGGTAGGGTTTTAGTTTTGTTTTATTTTTAGACCTTGGGTTTTTTAAACGGTCTCACTATGTAGCCTAGGATAGCCTTGAGCTAATGTTCCTGCCTCATCCCTCTAAGTGCTGGAATTACAGATGTGTACCACCAAAACTGGCCAATTTCTTTTGTTTTTGTTTAAATTTGTTTTTAAGCTGCTTATGTTAAGTGCAGCACACACTGCTTAAAAAAAATCTTGGGGAGGCAAGATGGCTGGTTAGGTAAATGTGCTTACCACTAAGCCTGAAGATCTGAGTTGAAACTCAGGGACCCACATGGTGAAAGGAGAGAACCAACTGCTGAACGTTGTCTTCTGACCTCCACATGTGTGCAACAGTGGCACATGCCCTCCCTCCCCCACCACTACAAAGAATAAATTTAGAGTTGGGTGTGGTGCACACCTTTAATTTCAGCACCAGGGAGTCGAGGCCAGCCTGGTCTACATAATGAGTTCCAAGGCCAGCTGGGGCTACAGGGAAACTTTGCCTCAAAAAGACCAAAATAAAATAAATAAATAAAAAGCATTAAAAAAATGTTATTCAGGGGGCTGGAGAGATGGCTCAGCAGTTAAGAGCACCAGCTGCTCTTCCAGATGACCCAGGTCGAGTTTCCAACACTCACATGGTGGCTAACAACCAACTTCCAGTTCCAGGGGCTCTGATGACCTCTTTGGGCCTTGCATGCCTGGGTGCACTCACATACATGCAGGCAAAATTCTCATACACATATAACTACAAAAATGTCCTGGCCTATATAGTGAAATCCAGGCCAGCTGGGGCTACAGGGAGATCTTGTATCAAAAAGACCAATAATAATAATTTAAAATTTCAATTATAAAAGTTTTAAATTTTTTTAGCTACCTGTGTGGCAGACACACACATTTTTATAAATTCTGCCAGACAGGGCTACAGAAATACCCAGTGTTTTGTTGCCAACCTAGGGTTCTGAGGTAAGGTAACAAGTACAGACCCCCACCACACCCCCAGGCCCTGGCACCCCTCACTACCTGTGCTGGGAAGTGGGCGTCTATTCCATATGCAGGAAAAGGAAGCAGAAGGCAGTGTGAGGTTCCATGTCTGGAGAGTTGGCATGATGGGAAATCGAAATCATGCCTGCCTGGTTCCTGTCAATGCCTTCTGCCCTCCACGCCTGCCCACACCTTAAACAAGCAAAGCTTCAGGAAGAAGGAGGTGGACATAGCTCAGGTGGTAAAGTATTTTCCTTGCAAGCATGAGAATCTGAGTTCAATCCCCAGAACCCATGTAAAAATAAAGCCAGGCATGGTGGTCCGTGCTTGGAATCCCAGGACTAGGAAGGCAGAGACAGGAGGATTCCTGGTTCTCGATGGCCAACCAGCCTAGAATACTTGGCAAGTCCCAGGCCAGTCAGATCCTACCTATCTCAAAAAACATGGTGGCACTGGGGAGATGGCTCAGTGGGTAAAAGTGCTTGTTTTGAAAGCCTGACAAGCTGAGTTCACATCCCCAGAATTCACATAAAAGCTGGGCACAACAGCAAGTGTCTGTAATGCCAGTACAACCTCAGATGGGAGGAGACAGGAGTCTCCACAAGCTACAGGGCCAGCAGCCTGGCTTAAGCAGTGGTGAAGACACCCTGTCAGGGAGGCTCAGCGGGTAAAAGCACTGACTGCTCTTGCAGAGAACCTTGGTTTGGTTCCCAGCACCTACATGACAGCTAACAGCCACCTGTAACTCCAGTTCTATGGGATCTAACACCCTCTTCTGGCCTCTGTGGGTACTGCATGCGTGTGGTACACTTACATACATACAGGCAAAACACTCATATACATAAACAAACAAATGAGACCCGGTGTCAAACAAGGTGGAAAGGTGAGGACTGACACCTGAAGGCTGTCCTCTGACCTCCACAGGCTGCTGTGACCCAAGTATGCCCATATCAGAGAGAGAGAGAGAGAGAGAGAGAGAGAGAGAGAGAGAGAGACTGACTCACCTGGCTGACAGAAGGACCTAGGTCTGGCAGGGCCACCAGGGCAGCCACGGGTACCTACAGACATAGCCGGCCCAGCTTCAGACTTGTACCAGGAGTCAGGGAGGTAGGGGCTAGCTCCTCCCTTGCCAGTTGTGAAGTGTTTTCATGGTCTCTGAGCTCAGAGGACTCCTGGGGTTCACAGGCACCTACTGGAGGAATCTACCCTGCTGTCAGGAACACCAAGGCACCATGGGAGGAAGTATAACCCCTCAGTCATACTTTGACCTCTGCAGCACCTAGGGGTCAAATGCATTGACTCTCAGGAGCAAGAGGGGCTGTGACAGGCCATTTGTTGACTTCTCTGCCCTCTGCAGTCACCCACTCGCAGGGACCACTCACAGCCTCAGGTGTCATTTCTTTAATATATAATTTTTTATTTCTGGTTATAGAAACAAACACTAAAAGGAGAAAACAAAACTTCCCCCATCCACATACAACAATCAAATTGATAAAAGAACAGTTAAAGTAAAAGAAAAAAAAGTAGAAATTTTCAACTTTGTTATAGCTTTAAAACATTAATGTCTGATAACAGTTAGAAATCACATTCAGGTGTCAAACTTTAAAAAAAAAAGTATGGTTTTGTTATAAAAAAATACTGTATCCCATTTGAAATGAAAACCCAGGTGGTGGTGCTTGGGATATGTGGGTTCGCTGGTTTTTCTGATACCAGCCCTTGCCCCTGCCCCTGGGGATATGGGGCATGTCCCATTTCTGGAACTCGAATTCCCACTGTATAGGACACCACTGCTTTTTATAGCGCTGAATATTAAACATACTGTGAAAATACTTTAGACAGCCACTGTAAAAAAAAACAACAACAAAAAAAACCCAAAAAACACTCACACACACACATACATACTCCCCGAACACCCACCCCCCCAAAATTATTTTTACAGGAGAATTATTGTTCAGGTAAGAAAAAAATATCTCAGTATTGGCTTTAGGCCCTCTCTCACACGCACAGAGCCGCTGCCTTGAGGGACACAGCAGAATCCAAGGAAAGATCCAGAACACAGCCTGGGTCTCTCCTTCCCTCCCTACCACCTTCTCCCAGTCCAGGAGTCAAGCTAAAGGAACCCCAGATGCCTCCCAGGAAGGGAAGATGGAAGAGGGGCCAAACTTAAAATGTTATTTAAATCCCCATTTTTACCAATTAAAAACAAAACAAACATTCTAGACCAGCTAATCCAGAGTCAAGAGGCCAGGGAGCCATTTGGATATGTACAGGGCAGAGAACTTCGTTCAGGGAGAACAAATACTTAGGGGTCTCGGGGCCAATGCCAGGTGGGCCAACACAGCCCCCTAGGGATTCAGGGGACAGTGCTGAGTTTGCTTTGCTGGCGACAAGTGCTTTAGATGCAGGGAAAACTCTCAGGTGGAATGTGGGTCCAGCCTGGTCACTGTGCCCACTGAAGTGGCCCCAGGCTCCTCCACTATGCACTGTGTTGCCAGGGACCAGTCACACCAACCAAGTATTCCAGAAGCAAACTCCCAGAGAGTAAGCAGCCGCACTCTTCCAATTCTCTAACTATTTTAAGTGGGAGAGTCGGGGGAAGGACAGCTGAGGTGGGGGTGGGCTGTCCTACATAGCCTATGTTTGGCAGTCTAACAGAAGTACAGGTTACACCTGCTGCTTTTCGTAGGTCCAGGGGCTTCTCTTGTCCCTTTTCCCCAGTTGCTTGAATGACAGGCTGGATCAAGAATGAGGGAGAATGAAGCCCTTTCAGTGGGGTTTCTTCTTGGAGAGAAAGATGCCTGCAAGCAAGGTGTCTGTTTTCTTGGCTGCTGTCTACAACACAGAAAAGCCCATTGGCCACTGGGGCCAGGAAGAGGCTAGGAAAGCCCTCAGCTTTGCTTGGGTCCTACCTGACTCACCTCTCCTTCCTGCCACCCCCAGGTGACCGCTCTGCCCTGCATCATGCCCAGGCATGAGGCTAACTCACTTGTGGGCTGCTGCACCCTGACTTCTTAGGGGTTGGTTCTGGAATGCTCCCTGTAAGCCACAGAGCTGAGGGTCTGCTAGAGGGGAGTTCAGAGGACAGATGACGAGAGGAGGATCATGAAAGTAACTTTTTAAAACTTTAGTGCAAAACTGTTTTCCCTAAACAGAGTCAGTAAAACAGGTGTTTTTTACTTCAAAGGAAACACCTTTGATCTGTTCACATAATTCCACTTGACAAGCAGTGTGGCTTTCAGGGGTTAGGGACGGAGGGCAGAAGAAGCAAGCAGCAGCTCTGGACTGTTCAAACCACTGGGCTGTGGGGACAGGGCACCACATGCAGCCCAGCTTGCCAGTTTGTTGGGGCATCTATGCATGGAGGCCACACCCTCCTGGTGGGTCACCAGTATAGCAGCTTTTGGTACCAAAAGAGAGCAAGAAGCACTGGGACCTGGTGGTGCAGGCCTGTCATCCCAGCAACTCAGGAGGCTAAGACAAGAGGACTGAAAGTTTAGCCAGCTTGGGCAGCTTTGTGAGACCCTGTCTCTCAAGTTCTAAAAGTACAAAGGGCTGGGAGTGTGGCTCAGTGGTAGAGTGCTTGCCTAGCATGTGCAAGGCCCTAAGTGCAATCCCCAGCACTACAAAAAACCAACCAACCAACCAACCAAACAAACAAAAAAACCCACCACCACCATAACAAACCTCCCCCCAAAAACCCAAAGACACCAAAAATGCAAGGAACAGATATTTTCACCAGACCCCTGCACGAAGGTGGGTGCAAGATCTGCGTCCCCAGCACAAGAAATATAGGACACATGGGAACTGTAGGGGACAGGGACAGAATGTGAAAATGGCAGGTGGAAATGGGCAACAGGTCTTGGTTACTGTTCTCTGCCTTCACCCCCGAGAGCCAAAGTGCATGTCAGGGATCCCTGCTCTAGGGAGAAGCCCCTGTGTTTGTAGCAGCTATTTTTGGAACAACTTATTCTTTATAATATTGCTTTCGAGCAGAGGTATTGGAGGCCAGGCTTCGGGCAACTGCTCTGTCACCCTGAGTCAAAATGAGAGGTTCCCCTGCCAACATCTGGGGATGGGATGCCCTCGTGCCACATGCAAGGGCTTTCACCAGAGGAGTGACTCGGTCACTTTCTGACTTATTGTAGAGCAATAAGATGTTCAAAGGGGGAGAGAGGGACTGAGTCAGGTTGGGGGCCCCTACCCCAGAGAGGGTCACATCCCTCAGATCCTATGAAGTCACCTAAGTGCAAGGTGGAATTTGAGGTTTTTGAGGAAAAGTGGAGCATTCTGTCTCATCATATTTGTTTCTGAGGGAAAAGATTTTTTTTTTTCCTCAAATTAATCTCTGAATGGAGGTCTGTCTGTCCTTTGTCTCTACAAAGGACACTGATCCCATTACCTGGCTGTGGCTATTTCCAGCTCTCCTGGAATATCCTGGAATGCTGTTCTTAGTTTCAGAGGAAAGATGGACATTAGTTGAATGGTCTGTGTGATCTCGAATCAGTCTTCTGGCAGGCCTGTCAAGGGGCAGAGAAGAGCTGCAGGGGCAGATGGTGAGGGGGTTCAGAGAGGAGGAGACACTGTACCTCAGTGGGGGTGGTGGCTCCATGTATTAAGGTGAGGCACCAACAGCTGATGACAGACATATATTGTCTCCTGGATACCAGGCTGAAAGTTGAGGCCAGCAAGAAGGGACAAGAGGGAGAGGAGGAGGAGGAGGAAGGGGGAGAGAGGGGATAATCGAGAGGGGAAGAGAAAAAAGAGGGGGGAGAAATAGAGAGATTGAGGAAGAGGGGTAAGGAAGGGGAAAGAGGAGGAAGAACAGGAGAACGAGGAAGAGGAGGAGGGAGTTGGTGTAGGTAGGTGAGCTCACAGGGGTGTCTTCACTTCTAAAGTTACCATGGTGACTGTGACTTCCTATGTTTGCTGCATCTGTGAGTCCGGCCAGCACTGACTATGAAGCAGAGGAGAGAGTGGATGTATGGATACCAGACACCTGCTAGGGAGCACCTATCAGAGCCAGACGAAACCAGAGGGACCCTGCCCCAAGCCATCAGCTGGACCACGAAGCTGTGCCACAGCAAGGAGTCCCAGCATGGGCTGAGGAGCAGGGCCCCAGGCCCCATCTCCAGGGCTGGGGTCAGCCCACCCTCAGCAACTTCCAGGGTTGTCAGCCCTTGTCCACACAATGGATGGTCATGGCCACCCTGGCCCGACCTAGGCTCTGACTTCTACAGACAGCTCAGCCACTTGGTGGCTCAGAGCTCATGGGAGCATGTTCAGGCTGGCTGTGTCACCCCCTTCTAAACACTGGCTATTCTGGGTTATGGGCTATGGGGTAGATGCTGGCATGAGCCAGGGGGGTCCCCTGGCAAAGACCAAATACCCTTCACAGGAGTGACTTTTCATAGACTCAGAGTAGCAGCTCCAGGCAAGTCCCTACCCTCCCAGCTCAGGTTGCCTTAACCCAGGGGCACAGACCCTCAGCAAGGCTATGCAGGATTCCAGGACTGTGTGTTCCCACTCTCTCAGCCCACATTCTTCCACATCTGTGTTACAGTGAGAGGGTTCCTCACAGAGGACAGATATCATCAAGTTTCAGAAGCCAGGAGAGTAAAAAGCTCAGGGTCAGACTGTGGAGACCTGACATTGATGGGACAGAGGGTTATCCATGGTTCTGGTGGGGGCTATCACACAGCGTCATGACAATCCACAGTGTTAACCACGCACAGCTGAGAGTAAACGCTGATGGAGAAAAGATCAACAGGTGACCCTAATGTCCCCTGTTGCTGATCCTTGCCTGGCAGGGCTGATCTGGCCATGATCTTGGCCCAAAGAGCATTTCAGACTCTCACCTTGTCTGTCCCGCCCCTGCCATGCTCACATCAGCCACACAGATGGAACAAGTTCACACCATGTACAAAGATTGAAGATGCTGTGGGATGAAGTCCTGTGTCCTTCTCTACAGGACAGCTGAGCTGGAAGCTACCCCCGACCCTTGCCGCTGTCATCCCAGCCCAGTTTCTCTGAAACTTCCCAGGCAACAGGACTTCAAAACAAAGCTTATTTCCAGCTTGAAGTTTAGAGCTACAGAAACTGACTGGGGAGCTCAAAAAAGACACTCCCGAGGGCAGCCAGACACTCTGCACTGGTCCTTGGTGTGTGCCAGGGAGCGATGACTTTGACGGTGGCTGTAGATAAGGGGACATGGCAACCATACAGAGAAGCATGGACTCAATCTATCTGATCACCTGCTGTCCTTGGTCACAGCATCCAGGTCATGGACCAGTCCCCCTCCAGCAAAGGCAGGGTGTGGACTTGTGGCTCCTCATTTCCCTGGGACAGGCTATCTCTTCTGGGGCTGTTACTCACAGTCCACCCCCAAGGAGGAGCAACATTGAGTGATCTGCTACCTGGAAGTCCGCCACTTACACAATCGCCGTTACTGCTTCCACAGAGTCACCTCTCACCCTCAAACTGTGGGGAACATTCAATGGCTAGGGTTCAGCTCCCGCTGCTGCTCCTTGGCATGTGTCCAAGTATCACTGGTGGCTTGTCTGGGCATGCAAAGGGGACGTCACTGGGGGATTTCCTTAGTCCCTCGGCTGATCCTGTCCTTTGGTTCTTGCCATGTGGCATTCAAAATTGGCATGGGCCTTTCCACCAGCCTGAAGAGGTAGTTTCCTTTGTGGTGAGGACTGGCCTGGGGCCCCCACCTTCACGTAGATGAGAGGGTTCCAATTTTCGAACAGTGGACGGGTTTTTAGGGTGTTCAGGAAACTAGACTGTGAGGGGACAGTGTGAGCACACTGTGTCCTGTGGCCCCTCCAGCTGCTGGGAACACAGGGCTCATTCCTTCATGGTCTTCCAGAAATATGTACTGTTCTTTCCACTGAACAAAGGAATGGCCGACTTCTGCCTGGAGCTGCCCATGTTCCCTGGGCATGCAATGCTGAGCATGCGATGCTGTAAGAGGTTCTGGGTTCAGCCACTGCTGGGAGCCGCCAATCCTTCTTGGAGTTACCAGGCAGAGCGGCATGTTGGCATGGGGCTGGTATGGGTAAGCGCCTGGCCCTATGGCTTCTCAGCTCATTACTGGTGGGAACCCCAAAGACATGGAAACCCTTTTATGTTTGTCTCAGGTTTTGAGATGAGCCCAAATTCCATGTTTAAACATAAGAAATATTTAGGGCCCAAAGTCAAAGTAGATCTACCTCCCTGATCCCAGTGAATATCATGCTCTACGTCACTTTGGGGGAGTATACCAGCCTGAAGCTGGGAAGTTCCTGCAGTTGTCTGGTCTGTTATCGATCAGTTAAAAATCAGTCTGGTCTGCTACCAATCAGATGTCCTCTTCCGTTCTGGGGAAAGTGGCCTGGATTTGCTCTGCATGTGCTTCTGTCCAGTTCTGGGGAGCAAGATCTTCTTTGTGGGTGCTGGCCAGGGATCAGTTCTTGAGACGCCGGGCTAAACCATCTTCCCTTTGTCCCAAGGGCCAGGGAGAGGTGATGGTGTGAGAGAGGGGTAAATAAACACACAGAACCCCAGATTCATACAATCAAGTTGTCTGAATGTGTTTATGTGTTTTCTTTCAAACCACGGGAGGACAGGATATAAAAAGGAAATTGTCTGAGTGTGGAGGCCACCTGTGTGGCACACGTGCTGCAGGCAGCTGGGAGCTTTTCTACTCGGTCCTTGAGTGCACCTGCTGGCCGCTTGGGTTCCTGTGGTGTGAGTTCCACTCTACTTTTGCATGGGTAACTTCACTCCCCGGTACCTGGGCCCTGTGGGCCAGTGATTGCCATTGCTGTGGCCTGTGTGGTGGCTGTCCCACTGGGCTCCTCTACCCGGGACCTCTTGACCTCAGGCTCCCCACTGGAAGAGGCAGAGGTGGTGGTGGAGTTGGCTGGGGTCGGCGTGGTGTTGGTTGCCACCGAGACAGCTGCTGTTGGCTCCTCAGGCCCCACTTCGCAAACTCGGGTGACCACTACTGGTGTGGATGAACTTGCCTGGGCTGCCAGGAGTTGCAGGGGGCTGGTAAGGGCTGGAAACAGGAAGAAAAGATTACATGAGGATGGCCACTGATCTAAATCAGTAGCAAAATCAGCCATAGCTCTATCTCACTACAGTCCTCACACAGGGAGTCTTCCTCCCTACCCAGGCCAAGCTTGGGTCTGACATCCTACAGCCTGCTAACTCAGAGTCCCTTCGCCTATTGCTTCTGTCACCCTGAGGATATTCTGGGGACTCTTTCCCTCACCCCCTTACCTCCTCACCCCCTGTGATGGCTAATCTTGATTATCAGTTCAGTGGGATTCAGAATCACTATAAAAACAAACCTCTGAGCATGTCTGTGAGGGAGTTTCTAGACTGGGCTGAGGAGGGCAGACCCACCCTGAATGTGGGCAGCACCATTCCTGGGCTGGGGTCCTGGACTGAATAAAAAGGAGAAAGGGAGGTGAACACCAGCATCCATCTCTCTCTGCTTCCTGACTGCGATGCCAGGTGACCAGCTGCCTCACACTCCTGCCACCATGCCTTCCCACTGTGAAGGAGTGCACCCTCAAACTCTCAGCTGAAATAAAACCTTCCTTCCTTAAGTTGCTTTTGTCAGGTATTTTGTCACAGCAATGAAAAAAGTAACTAATATACTCCTTGCACAGAGGCCTACCCACCAGCACCCTGCTCTCTGTGCTGGCTAACTCTAACTTCCTCCTCTGACCCCTGCTGTTGTCACTTGAGGTGACATGGGGTCTCCTTGCTAGTGATTTTTTCTAGCATGGCCACAGTGCCTGGCACAGAGCAAATGTAAACTGAGCAGAGTGGACAAGATGGAAAAGCTCTTGTGAGAGTTCTGTTGATGGAACAGGATTTGGGTTGAGGATGGGTCAGGACCTCACCATAAGCATTGCCAGTTAAACTATTTGTGGGCACAGCATGCTTTCCATTTTGAGTGACGGCCCGGACTGGAAGATGGTGCTGCCCCATTGTCACTGGTGTGGCTGGCTGCAGGATGGTGACCGTGTGCCCTGGGACCCCTGGGGCCATCTGGCTGGCGACCGTCTGGATGACTCGACTGGCTGCAGGGATTGTGGCAAATGCAATGGTGGGCTTGTCTTCCAAACCTGTGGGGCAGGCAGGCAGGCAGTCAGAATCACATGCAGCCCAGGAGGCCTTCCTTCATCTCAGCACTGGGGTTGGGGATGGGGTGGCACTGGTAGAGACTGCTTCCCAAGAAAATTCCAGAGGAAATGTGTTTTAAAAAAATTAATAGGGTTTTAGAAGAATATGCTGGCCAGGCATGATCAGCCACACCTTTAATCCCAGCACTCAGGAGGCAGAGGTAGGCAGATCTCTGTGAGTTCGAGACCAGCCTCGTCTACATAGGGAGTTTCAGGCCAGCTGGGGCTACAGGGAGACCCTGTCTCAAAAAAAATAAAATAAAATAAAATTAAATTAAAAAAACCCCAACAAAATACATTTTTAAAAATAAATGACTACAATCCAATGTCACCTTGAGAAGAAACAAAATTCAAGCAAATAGCTATGTGCATTGGAAGGTTCTGTTAAGCAAGAGAGAAATGCCTGGGGATGATCCACATATATTGTCTTAAAAAGGCTTTAAAAAGCTTGAAAGGCTGTAATTCTAGGATCTGTAGCAAAGATCCATTTTCCTTTGCCCTCTTCCCCACCAGCTGGGCCAATGGCCCAGGCCCGCAGTGCCTAACAGTGACAACCATCCTGGGTCCTAGCTGGTAACACGGCTGTGGCGACATTACCTCTTGCCTCGCTGCCCAGGTCCAGCACAGCTGTGCCTGCTGTGTCGTGGGAGCCCCCGGCTGAGCCCTGGCTGGTGAGAATGTACCCGTTGGCTGAGCTGGCAGAGGTGGTGACCACTCTCACCATGGTGACGGTGGGGGCCTGCTGTACCACATGAATGGCGTGGCCCGAGGGCTGCTGGGAGGTCACTATGGAGGCTGGCATGTAGGCGACGGGCTTAGCCACTAAGTTGGAAGGTCGGGGAGGCACAGCCATGATCACTGGCTGGGCGCTGACAGGGGAGCCTGTGGGAAGGACACAGAACAATTACTAGAGGGATGGGGAGCAGTGTCTTCATTCGTCATGTCTGAAAAGAGGAGGAAACTTCCTTACCGGGGGCACTCTGGGAATAGCGGTACTCTGGAACAGAGGCTAACTTTGATCCCAAGTCAGGGTCATGGGGAATGGGGGAACCCTCCCGAGACAGGCACTCTGGGGTCTGCAGGCCACTGGAACGAGGGGACATCAGCCCAGGGTGGGTGGGAGAAGCTGGAGCGCTCCTGAAATGAGAAAGGGGCACACCAAGATGGCACATCATGACGGTGGAGGTTATAAAAGATGACTGCTCCCCATGTTCACCTGCTACATCTCAGTCTCCCAATTCCTAAGACATACCCATGTAGCTCACACTTCCTCGGGGGGGGGGGTCCCCCTTCTATCTCCCTGAGGTTTTCCCAACTCTGTTTCCTGATGACAAAGACCCAACATTGCTAGTTCCACCCAGTGGAGCATTGGGTGGGCAGGGCTCCATCGAATGGGGTTGAAGTGTGGGTGGGGGGATAGACGGTTATCTTGGCTTCCTGAAAGTGCACATTCCACAGCACACAGGACATAAACTATCTCTCCACCCTCCAGGAGTGGTTTGGCCTGTGTCAAAAAGAAAAAGCTTTTAGGTAGGATGATGCAGATCTAGGCTTGCCTAGATCTAGATCAAGGCCTGCCTAGGCTACAGAATGAGTTTAAGGCCAGTCTGGACAACTTAACAAGACTCTGGCTCAGAGGCCAAGGTTGGGAATGTATATAGCTCAGTGGTAGAGCACTTGCCTAGAATCCCCCAGTGAGGCACTTAGGGAGAGGCATGGCTCAAAGATCTCCCAGTGAGAGGCTGGAGATGTGGCTCAGTGGTAAAGCACTTGCCTAGAATCCCCATGAGGGGCACCTGCAGAATTGCCATGAGTTCAAGGCCTACAAAGTGAGACCTTGTCTCAAAACAAACAAAACACCCCCCCCCAAAAAAAAACAAAAGAGAGGTTTATTGGTCTGAAAGCAATATTCCAGGAAATGCAGTCTTAAGGTGCTAAGGATAATCCCTTGAACCTCTATTACCCAGGGAACATGGCTTCACTGAGAGCATATGGACAACAGCTGGGGCTTACCGTGAGGACAGAGGCCCGAACGGCGTGCGGAAACAGGAGACGCCCCTCTGTCTCCGCTTTCGGAATGCCTGTTCAACCAGTTTGGCTTCAGAAGCAGGGTCTATTCGCCAAAAAGAGCCCTTCCCAGGCTCCTCCTGAGACCGTGGGACTTTGATAAAGTAACGGTTAAGAGAGAGGTTGTGTCGGATAGAGTTCTGTAGGAGATAAGAGAGAGATGTCTATCAGTCACAGCCCATCAGAGGGCCACAGCCCTTCAGAGGGCCACAGCCCTTCAGAGGGGCAGATCCCATGGCCCACAACCTGAATCACATAACAGCTGCAACAGGACCTGCTGGTGGACGCATCATGGTCCCGATAGGGGCACAGAGCTGTCTTTCCCATTTAATTCCACACTGTGAAACCCACCACTGTTCTTTATGAAGAATCAAAGCAGAAAGACAGGCGTGTGTGTGTGTGGACATGCCGGAACAAAGAAAAGATGGAGGCCGGCAGAGCTCAGAACAGCTTCTGAGGGCTAGAGAGATGGCTTGGTGGTTAAGAACACTGGCTGCTCTTGCTGAGGACTGGGGTTCACTTCCCAGCACCCACATGGCAGCTCACAACTCCAGTTTCAGAGGATCTGATGCCTTCTTCTGGCCTTCATGGGTATTGCATGCATGTGGTCCACATGTAGGCAAAACATTCATACACATTTAAAAAAAAAAAAAAACACCCTCCTGGGTCGATTAGTTCCCAGGGACTATGAGCATCGCGCAAAATGTCCTGTAATGGTGGTGGGTCATCTGGCCTCTTGATCAAGGAAGCCAAGGAGACCCCACCAGATGGACTTGAGCCAGTGTCCAGTCTATAAAGAGGAGGGTCAACACGGAGGAATCATTTCCTCCATCCTTCCAAGAGGAGCCAACAATGGTCGAGCAGGACCTTTGACTTATCCTCACATGAATGGAGCTGGTAAAAGAAAGGAGCCAGGGGCTCCTCCCAACCCCATGGGACCCCTGAGGAACAAATCCTCTAACAACCTCAAGAGTAAAAACAAATCAGTTTATCTAGTCCAATTGTATGTCCTTAAACACCAAAAAGGAAAGTATAACCAAAGATTAAAGGGGCCAA